TCTCAGCATCCCGTCCTGTTGATGTTCTTCAGCGTGCCAACGCATCATTCTAGCATTCCCCTTGTTCCTGAACAAACGCCTTAGCCGTGGTATTATAGGGAAATACCACATCACCTTAGCAGGAATTCTCTTCTTCGTTAGCTGCCCATCAACTTCACCTGGATCATCTCGTCTAATCTTGTATCGTAGTGCTTTAAAAACAGGGCATGCTTCTAGGTTCTCGTACTCCTCACCGCGATATAGGATACAATCATTCGGACATGCGTGAATCTTCTTAACTTCCAGTCCTAGAGGGCAGACTATCTTCTTAGCCTCGTACATTGTCTCGGGCAATTTGTTTCCCTCCGGAAGAATGTTCTTGACGAGTTTCAATAAATCGCCAAATGCCTTGTCACTAACACCATTTTTTTTCTTTCATTGCAAGAACTCCACAGTGGTATCCAACTTTTTGTGCCCCTGCTCGCAACCTAGGTACAACGACGTTATGTGGTCCTTTAACATCTTGTCTAATTTATGGGGCCCCTTTTCACTTTCGCAGTCCTCCTTGGCGTCCTGCAACATCTGACCAAGATCATCCGCAACATCGTTATCATTAGCATCCCTGTCCTCCTCGCCCGTTTGATTTCCTTCAAATCCAGCGTACTAAGCAAAGTCCGGATTATTGTCGTCTTCCACTTCATTTTCTTTCATTTCAACCCCTTGCTCTCCGTGAGATGTCCAACAATTATCGCTTGGCATTAACTCCGACTTAAACAAGTGGAAATGAATAGTCCTGAATGCAGAATACTCCTTCTGGTTCTTACACTTATTGCATGGATAACAAATAAAACCCTTATGCTTGTTAGCTTCGGCCACTCTCAAAAAATAATGCATGCCGACAATAAACTCTTTAGACCGCCGGTCAGCGTACATTCATTGCCCATCCATCTACATGAAATGAAAAAAAAAATCGTACACAAATAATTATTCGTACAATAATGACAGTCATACAATAATAATAAAATAATCACAAACTCTTCCAAAGGTCATACAATAATGACATATCATTATTCATACAAAAATTATAAAATATTCCACCAAATAATTCTTATTTATTATTTTTGAACTTTTAAACTAATATTAATGTGTTGTACTTCTTTTGGTTTTCAATTTAGTTTGTTTTCTATTATTTAAGATTAACTTTCACTATATTTTCCTTCTCAACTATTTTATAAAACCTTCTTTAGCAAATTAACAAAATTTCTATATATTCTTTCTTTCCCACACAAATTTTCTCTCTCATCAACTAACAACAAAATTTTGGAGACAAAAAAGTGAGCAAAACATAGCTCCAAATGTAATATGACAAAAAAAACATTGGAGGATGAAGTTGCTAACCTTTTAGGCACCTCTGATTTGTATATAATCACCAAAATAAATTCACTAGAAATTTTGGCATGACCTCCCCTCTTTTTTGAAGAAATTTTGAAGCTTGCTCGGGCTGAAGGAGGAAAAAGACATATATAAAGGGGTGGAACTTTAGTCCCGGTTGGTGTTATGAACCGGGGCTAAAGATCGCCGGGATCTTTAGCCCCGGTTGGTAACACCAACCGGGACTAAAGTTACGATCTTTATTCCCGGTTGGTGTTACAAACCGGGACTAAAGATCCCGGGGGGCCTGACAAGCCCTGACAGCATTTGAACCGAGACTAAAGATGATCAAATATGCATGTTACCCTTTTTAATCGGGACTAAAGATGATCAAATCGCCAAGTTCCGGTTTTTATTGCAACCGGAACTATTGTGGAATTCGCCCGACCGACGAAAGATGATTTCTCCACCAGTGGCGCATATCCTAATACAACGAATCTAGACAAAATTATGTCCAAATTCGTAGTGTTAGGATGTGTTACATTAATTACTAGCTACATTAGTTTTTTTAATGAAACGGAGGGAGTATGTAATTATATAATTGTTGAATGTATACTCAATTAATAAATCCTGCGTACGTCACTGGCATCACGGGCCCTGCCTGTTGACGCATGGTCAGTTCCGAGGCAGCCAAGCTGTTGATCAAATAAACTATATGTATATCAGGACTTCAGCTGCCTGTGTGAATATATAAATTCAGGAACACGTACAACCACGGGGATGTGCCTGCAATTTGAAACCACAAAAACGCACGCGTTGCACACTAGCTATAGGTTTGCACTTATATAATACACTTCTCATCAGTAAACAAGAGAACGGCATGGGTCTCCTGACACTTTATGCTTATCAACGTGTGACAGTCTCAAAATAAAATGAAGGCCAACTGGCTAATTGGCCATCCATAATGTGAGACAAAAGTACTCTTATAACTTGTCGATAAGGATTTTGTTCTTATTTCTCAGATAAGCTATAAGTATTATTTTTGTCTCACATTAATTGTAAGGTCGACCCATGTTCCCATTTCTCTAACTAGCTATAAGCACACTTGTTCCCTCCCATGTGATGCTCCCTGTGGCAGTGCTCGAGACACATTCGTCCCTAGGCATGACCCCCACAAGCATGATCCTTTTGTGGGCTATGTCAGTGCACCTCGGGCGCCCCCTCCCCCCCAAGCGATGCTCGGGGCACATTCGCCCCTCGGGCATGAACTCTAGAACTTGGCCTCCGTGGGCGGTTCTCGGAGCACATCTGTCACCTGTTCCCAAGTATCTGGGGTATACCAACCTAGCCTAGGACCGGTACAACACGCGACAAGACAACACATACCAACCCTGCAACAAGCCTTTATCTCTCCTATGCGAAAAGGCGTGTGCTATAGGCGGCACTGTTGAGTACTATGTCGCACGTTTAGTTCACAGTCATCGCACACTTTCTTCCGACGGCAGGCGCACGGCCTGACAACCGGGCCCAGTCACCAAGAAGCAACAAGACCAAAAAGACACCTTACCCCTATGCAGGGTCCATTTATAAAAAACATGCCACCGTGATATAAAACGAGGACCAAGGTCACTGAAAAAGAGAGAACTCTTATTAGTTAGATTGATTATTTTATGATGTACTCCATGTGTCCAAAAATAAAACAATCTAGGATTGATTGGAACATCATCTAGTACATAACCAATTTAGGTGATGTCCCACCGAATCCTAGATTAGTTTATTTTGGAACGGAGGGAGTATATCCTATCTTAATGCCAATGGCTATCGCTATACATTGTGGAAATGGAAACAAGAAGAGTTCACTTGTGTGGGTCCCATTTATATGGACTAGTTGGTCCATATACATTGGTGATGCCCTGCATGCATGTACTATTAAGATGTTAGGACATACTTTCTTCATCTCATAAAAAAGAAATCTTATACTCCCTCCATCCATAATATAAGGGATTTTGACATTTTACTTGCACTATTTGATCATTCGTCTTATTTAAAAAAATTTAGAATTATTATTTGTTTTATTTGTGACTTACTTTATTATCCATAGTACTTTAAGCACAACTTTTTGTTTTTTATATTTGCATAATTTTTTTGAATAAGACGAGTGCTCAAACGTTACAAGGAAAAAGTCAAAATCCCTTATATTATAGGGCAGAGAGAGTACAACATGTAACATATTTTTAGTACTATGAATCCGAATAGCATTATTGATTAGTTGGTTCATATATATTGGTGATGCCCTGCATTCATATATTGTTCAAATGTTACTCCCTCCATCTTATAAAAAATAAATATAGTACCAACTGGCACTAATCCGATGTTTTGAGGTAGTGGATAACTTACCATCTTTCGGAAGAAATACTCTAATACCCCGATGCTTTGTTCTGGCTTCTAGCCACCCCGGCCCCTTCCTCTAGGTCTAGTCCATCCCCATTAATTTAGACAATGATCAGTAGCATTCTTTGCCATTATTCACTTCCATGGGATCCTTTTGAGCACCTCCACTGATTCTCAGTTTAATTTGCAGGTGCCATGACCTAGCCTATCCGCCACTGAGTTTCGCCATGACTGTAATGGATGGGGGGATTCCTACCAGAAGCAAGAGGTTGTTGTTGGATCTAAGCAGCACAGGCATAGACATCATCTTACTTGGCCAAATCAATGTTGACCATCATCTAGCTAGCTAAGCTAGAAATGGAGCTTGCAAGTGATTAACTTGCAAGTGATTAATTAATTCCTTTGGACTTTCTTAATTATATATCCCACGGAAGAATCTGCAAATCGATGAATGCAACCCAACTTTAGGCTCCATTTAGTATTGCAGTGCAGTATGATATAGTCTGATACAAATAGGGGCGGATCCAGCGTAGGTGCTAGGGGGACTTGAGTCCCCCCTACCCCGCTGGATCACCACTAACAAAGGGGGAGATGAAAGGAAAAGAATAGGAAGAAAATTAAGAGTAGGGGGGACTGAAAAAGGAAGAAGGAAATGAGTTCCCCCTTAAATCTTGTTCTGGATCCGCCACTGGATACAACCACACATTTTCATATTTGGAAATTATTTTCTTTTGGTGTTCGATACTATGAAAACCATTTTTTCAGGCGATCAAATCGCTTTACGCAGACAGCCCGCCACTTAGCATGTGTTTACGAAAATCATATTGTTTTGCAACCAGGCCGCCCCAACTGAAAATACAGTCAGCCTGTAGTTAATCAGCCTCGTAGTAGTAAATTGTTTTTCTATTAGTAGTTGTAATATCACAGTTTGAAAATAGGAAATAAAAAAAGTTGAGAACTATGAAAAACTGGAAGTATGGTAACATATATATTTTAATTTATTTATCTAACTAGTTTAAAACTATAATTTGATCCGTAAAACAATGTACGGCGATTATAAGTATATCAACTTAAAAATAAGCACAACGCAGCGTATAGCACAGCAAATACAAATCGAACCTTATACACAATGCACTAATTAATTAATTTCGTATCATGCTGTATCTATGCTGGTGAGAATGCTAATGTGACTGCGGTAAATATATAGGCCGCCGCCATATTTGTGTTCTTGGGTACCAGTTGCTAGTAGATTTCTAGGATCAAAATCTCCAAAGATCTACTGAGAAAAATGTCTGATCCATGTTGCAATTGCCGTCGATCATCACATCCTCCCCACCGTCTTCGCATGGCGATGGCGGCATTGTGTGCAAGAACCCGTACATGAAATCATCCATGGCCGGGACCAGATCAGCATTGGTACTAGCCGCTGACGACGACATCGCCGGCAACGTGTCCATGAATGACCAGTCAATGACATCATCACCGCCGTCGTAGTCGGCAGCGCCGCCGTCGGTGGAGGGCACTGACGACATGGCCGTGTCGTCGTTGCTCGTCGACCGCGCAGGGGCTGCTGCTTCTTGCCGCTGCGAGATCGAGTACGACGACGACGACCCGCCGGCGGCGGCGGTGTTCGCCGGAAACGGGCGGTTGGCGTGCCTCGCCGCCTCGGCCTGGATCTGCTCGACCGTGAGAGCCGCGCCGGGGAAGCGGCGGCGGACGTCGGGAGGGGGGGACTCCGGGAAGTTGAGCGAGCCGGCGCCGCGCGAGCCGCGGAGGCAGACGGCGGCGGCGTCGAACGCCCGCGCCGCCTTCTCGGCGGACTCGTACGAGCCCAGCCATATCCTCTCCCGGCTGTTGGGCATCCGGATCTCCGACACCCACCGCCCCCACTTCCGCAGCCGCACGCCCTTGTACCGCCGCTCCGGCGACGACGGCTGCGCCGGAGACACCACCCCGCCCTCGCCGCCGCCGCTAATTCCAATATGATCCATGGCTAGCTAAGCTCGCAACTAATCACTAATATAGGCAAGAAACACACTCTCCTATGTACGCATTAGTTACTCATCATATTCATTTTGCAGATTTGCAGCCAGCTAGCTATGCTAGTGATCGATGAGCTGATGATGATCAAAGAGGAGAGAGTGAGAGATTATACTTATAGTGCACGGAAGACGTGTTGTTTGATATGATTTAAATCAGCTTTAATTTGCGATGGATAACAACACGCATGCTGGTAATGGTCAACCTCTCCGTGTGGGAGGAGAGCCGCAAGACTGCTTGCAATGCAAAACAAGAGGTTTGGAAACGGACAGTTTGGTGGCAAAATTTAGAAGGAATATTGTACTGCTGCCCAATATATGATGTTAACAAGCACGTTTGAGAAAAGGCAAGTGCACAGTACGTACGTACGTACGTACATACAATCAATCAATATGTGCTTTAATTTTGTGCCTTTTGCCCTTGTTTGTCGCTGCGGAGAAGTGAAGCCGCGACGATCTTTCACAAGATGGATGTGTAGCAGCTAGCTAGCTAGCTATGTGGTATAGGGCATGTGCCACACTGTGTTTAATAATTTTGATATTATTACAAAGGATACAACCGAAAGTACAAGTATGCTGACGTACTGACGTTAACCAGTGTGATCTTCTATTTTGCCCCAATTTGATGTTGCCATTTTATTTTGGTAGAACTGTATAGGATACGTAAAATGTGACTTTTACCCTATTACTTTTTATGATATATTCTTAGTGGGTCCTATCATTCCACCAACCCTCGAGACCTGCATCCCATCCATATACTATGGCCATTTTAATTTTTTAATCTATTATCATGATTCAAAATTAAAGAATTGATTGCACGTAGAATGGAGATAGTACGTATTCCCCGGCACCATGGAGATTTCAACTTGCTCATCTATTACTTTGGCTTTGAGTTTCCTTCACGCACCTCGTGTTCCCCATCACCATCATTGGCATCGGCTCCGATGTTGTAAGCTCATGTCCGTGACTTCGCGGGCATGTCAAGGCTGAGCTAATATACGATGACAATGATTGGCTAGCTCAGGTCGTGGTCGAGGTCCCGTCTGCAAGATCCAGTGATTGAGACGATGGGAGTGTCATCTGTCTAGTGGCAACCTTCATAACCATTGTCAATATCCTTGTCGGGTCAGCTCCAATGGTTGTGGCGGTGGTTATCTTTTGCTTCGGTTCGATGTTGGTTGTTGGTGGTGATGTGCACGAAATTCGATCAGCATAACAATTAGCCGCTGATTTCGGAGATTTTGTTCCTGGTTTTTGATAAAGACAAGGACTACATGCAACTTGCAAGCCTCTACGCAGAAACAATGGTTATGTACATTTTCGTCAACTATAGATATAGGTTTAGCAATAGGTGTTGGTAGTTTTCTTGTTTTTAATGAAGATATGATATTATAATCTGCAGTAGTTCGAACTACAACATCTGAAACAGTTTGTTGTACCTTTTTTGAAGCTAAAGACGAAATAAATTCTATTATCTAAAAAAAATACATAGTAATTGATGTTGATCGCCATGGCATTCCTCTATGTTTTCATGGGATTTCATTTCGTATAGTTGTGAAAGGTATGCAACGTGTAATATATGAACTTAATTTTTTTACGAATTCCCTTTGACACTGACATAGTGGTGATTGATAATTTTTTCTATAGATCAATCACATTTGCAACTGTTAGATTAACATTCAACAACTAACAATAATATTTGGTATTATATTTATGTATACCCCTTCGTGGATCCTCCTAGGATTAGAAGTAGATGTTCTAATCCACAAAACAGGTCAGTTAGGATTCCTCGTGGCTTTCCTTTTTTTTTCATAGTCCTCAATAGATCATCTCTTAATAATCTATTTTGCCACACCTCTATTACACATGTGACATGCCAACTTGCAAAGCAATGTTGGTACTTTTGGGTGTCGTTCACTCGTTCCCAATATTATTTATCTCGACTCCTTTTGTTTCCTAGGTCTAGCTAGCTAGCTAGGTTTTCTTTTTTGAAATTGAACACACTTTCAGCTAGTATACATCCGTTCTGTTTTACTCCATCCATTCTAATATAAGTGCAGTTGTGGGTTTCTGTGTCCAATGTTTAACCGTTCGTCTTATTTAAAACATTTATGAAAAAATTAAAAAAATTATTCACACATAAAATGCTATTCATATTTTATCATCTAATAACAATAATAATATCAATCATTCAATAAGATGAACGATCAAATACCAGATATGTATGGAAACTCACAACTGCACTTATATTGGGACGGAGGTAGTATGTTGTACGAAGGCATTGACATACTAGTTTCTTAATAATGTGTTTCTTAACTATAAGAACTAGAGGTTACTTAACTATGTATTTATAAAAATTATTAAAACTATAAATGTATACTCTATAATCGTTGGCCGTGTGCCTATGGATAGAGGCCAGAGATGTAACCCATTTCTATTATCTAAAAAAAATGAAGAATCTACCCGTGCAAACACACCACTATTTTACGTATCAAATCTCAAAATTACTCCCCCTGAAGTGGTCCAAGTAAAAAAAATGTCAACAATATGTTTTTATATATTAACAACAATTTGCGATGTACTTATATATCATAATTTAACTGTATTTATACTCATTCTAGGACATCACATTTTAAGTATATATATAATCTATCACTACTAATGCTAGCTAGCTTAAAGTAATTAAGCGTGTGGCCATGCGCGGCAACGTGTGCTTAATTAATTATATGCCTATATATAGTTAAAATTAAAGTACTACACATATGGACCACTTCCTAAGAGCGCAATTAGTTCATTTTGGTTATGCGCCCTACGCACGCATGTGCTTATTAATTAGGCCTTGCACTGTTGCATGTGATCCAAATGCATGATGGAGTGTCGTTGTGGTTGTTTAACCAGATCGAGCTCATGTGGTTTTTAACCTAACCATCCGTGTTATTATGATTGACTTCGATAAATTATTCCAAAAGTTAGAGCAAGTTGACTCCTTTTCTCTCATGGAATATGTCAAACTAACTGTAGCTGGTCATTGTAATTAAATTTTGCGCATGCATACATATATTGCAAAGGCTTAGCTATGATCTCTTATTAATTTATAGAGAATCCAAGAAATATCATTGACAAGTGTGAGTTCTATAAAATACCATCGTACAATCGATTTTGTCTCGAAAATGTCATCGCTATTAGAGTTCCATTAGCAACTCTCTATTAAATGCTATAGGATAAATAGTGTATTTAATTTAACGGTGCGAGATGGACGGAACCCTAACGACGTCGTATTTTTGGGACAAAATCATTTGTACGAAGGTATTTCATGGAACTCGCACTTATCGATAACATTTCTAGAAATTGGGCGTGTGTCAATGATATTTCTTGGATTGTCTCTAATTTCTAACTTGTTCATGTATAAGGTCGATGTGTTATGGCTTGACATATACTTCCTCCGTTTCACAATGTAAGTCATTCTAGCATTTCTCACATTCATATTGATGCTAATGAACCTAGATAAATTTCCCTTTTTATTGTGGATAATTAACTTTTCTGTTATACTATTAAATCAGATATCTGCGATATAAACTTTTCAGTTATCGGATGAAAAACAGAAGAGACAACTAGCAGTTGATATAATTTCATGCGTGCCGTTAAATACTTAATTTCAAATGTATGTAGAGCTTAAGGAGACGAGGCCGGCCGTGGACCTGCTGATAATTAACATAGGAGGTGTTTGGGAGAGAGGGGCTGTCTCTCCCAAACACCCCCATAGTCAAGCACTTGAATTATTTCAGTTGGAGCAGTTGTTGTCGGGCTTTGATCGATCAGTTCGCATAAACTAGCATACAGATAGAGTGCAGGTTATGTGCATGCCAACAAATTAAAGCAATATCGTCAGGTCAATGCGACCAACCATGGCGGCTATACGTATGTATGATTGTAGGTTGTATATATTATGGGTGGTTTGGTCGTTCATGCGCGCCATCGTTTGATGTCCATTTCGAATTTAATTAATGATATAAAATGAAATGCGCTTTCAACATCAAAGCCATGCATTACATTTCGGTTGTTTAATTTCGATTCTTTCTTAATTTCTTTTGCTGTTCCTTGGCTATGCAAATGTGAGGATCGATGTTATGGCTCGACCTATATATAAGAATTAAAGAAGTGCTTCTTCTCTATAATATGCTAATTTGGGTTTTTTTTTTGATAGGTCGGTTAGTTGTTACTCCATCATATCCATTCCAAAATATAAGAATCTAGTATTAGATGTGTCCCATTTAATACTAGGTTGTTATATTATAAGATAGAGGGAGTAACGTTTTAGACAAAAAGTCTATTTTGCGTCCATCCAGTAGGCTCCAAGTCTAATTTTGCGCTCTCACTCTCTTAAAAAAATTGGAACACATCCCTCAATTGTTAAAAAGGACACAATTTAACTCCTTTGGTAGATTGCACGATGGTTTTATCCAACTTGGTGTCCATGTGTTAGTCTAGGCATTGAAGATATTAATAAATGTGGGTCCCACTTGTCATATCTTCTCCCCCGTCTATCTCCTTTCTCTGTATCCTGATCTTCTCTCCTCATTCCAATCAGTAGAAGGGAACCAGGCGGAGGTGAGGAACTCACAACAGAAGCGGAGATGGCAACTAAGCTTGGGGGTACATCCTCCATGGAGGGTGGTGAGGGCAGTCAGAGTGGCCTGACTTGAACTGCCCTACTACCCCAGCAAATTTTGGCTTGCACCGGCACCTCAATTAGTGAACACTGACAATGGCGCATGGGAGCACTACCCATGGTAGTAGTGCTCCACCCTCCACTGCTTCCTCGACTCTCTTGCCAGCACTAAGTAGTTGCTCCACCCCCACTTGGTAGCTCCCAGATGTCAAGCTCGAGCCTTGAGCTCCTTCTCGAACTTCAGCCTAGGCATCAAGTGCCACCAGCGAGAAGAGGAAGGGGGACAAGGGGAGGCACCAGAGCGAGGATGAAGGTAGGGGAGCAAGAGCAGCCGAAGGGTGAGGAGTGGGTGGAAAGGAATGTGAAAGGACCTTAATGTCGCCTAGAGGGGGATGAATAGGCGTTCCTAAAAGTTATCACAACTTCATAGCATATTAGAATGATGAGAACTTTCGGTTCAAATAGGAACTTCCAATATGAGATTGGAAGTTCCGGTCTCAACCGAAAAGTTCGGCGGATAATGGAAGAAAACACTAGCTATGAACTTCTAGCTCAAATAAACAAAATGTATATAAATCAAAAGGTGACAAATAAGGCATCTAAACAAGATATAAGGTCACCAACTAAATCAATTAAGCATGCAAGTAGATCGGGTAAAAACTAGCTCAAGTACAATATGAGAGACTGCACAAATGGGCAAACCAAGAGAGGAGACGCGTGATTTGTTTCCCGAAGTTCGGATCCACGAATCCTACGTCTCCATTGAGGAGCCACAAGGGCCAGGCCTATTTCAACCCTTTCCTCACGAGGTTGCACAAATGCACTCCTCGGTTTCACTCTTGATTTCTTCCCTTGCGGAGGCAAAATCGAAGCCTTCACAAACTTTCCGTGGCACACCACAACCTTAGGTGCTCACCGGCGACGCCTAGCCGTCTAGGAGACCTTAGTCCCCAAGAGTAACAAACACAATCGAAGATTTGCTTGCTATGAACTCGAGTGCTCAAAGTATGGAGTGAAGCTCACTAGCTCTCAATTTCTCAATCACTCAATCCAACTCTTTCCCCTTCTCAAATCCCTCTCACAAAGAGGCGCTACAAAGGATGGAGTGAAGCTCACTAGCTCTCAACTCCTCACTCTCACAATCCAACTATCTCCCCTTCTCAAATCCCCCTCACAAAGAGGCACCACAGAGGTAGGGAAATGGGGATGGCTATTTAGCTTTGGATGTGTCTAATACTCCCCAAGAGCAGCAGCCACTCAAAGGTGGGGTGGAGGAGTTTATATACCCGAGCTTCTCAAAAACTAGCCGTTGGAGGCCAAGACTGTAATTTTTGGATTTTCCGAAAAGCATTTTCGGACAAGTCCGAAAATCTATAGAAGCAAATCTTAGATTCGCAGCCAATTTCGGAATATCCGAAAAATTTCGGATTTATCCGAAAACTTTTCGGAGTTTTCGATAATTTTTTGGACTTTCCGAAAAGCACAGAGTAAAAACGACTATAACTTTTCGCTCGGGAGTCCATTTTTGATGATCTTGGACTCTATGGAAAGCTCACTCAGAGGACTACCCAACTCAACCAAAAACAAGGTCTAAAACCACTCAAATGATAGGTTATAGCTTGGGTTTCTCTCAAGGTAGCACTATGATAGGTCACTTTGAACACCGAGACATACACAAACACCTCGACGTTGCATCCCTCTTAATAGTACGGCATTCCTAAACTCAAATGTAAACAAGAAGATAATTATACCATTAGGAATGACTTTTTTTCATCTTTCTTTCATTGTCTTGAGGGACGCCAATGCCGATACCGTTTCACCATATATTCTTCAAATGATTGATGCGGTTACTTGTAGCTTCAAATGGTCTCGCACGGTTCATCATGACAAAGCCGTCACTCGCCCTTCACCACCGGATTTGGTTCTTCGGCGCCGAGCCCCTTGCTTGCCCTTCACCGCCGCATGGTCCATCGTGACCAAGCATCGCTTGCCCTTCACCGTCTTGCCATAATAGCCATTTCGTATCACACATCTTCAATATCTTCACTTTGTCATTCTTGGTATTGTTAGGTGTAATGATATCACTTGAGCATCAACACCTTTGTAATCCTTGGGACCTATTTCTTTCATTAAACTCAATAAAATTATTAGTCCCAATAATCCGGTTGTCAACCTCCACATGTTGACCAACCGATCGCATGTATAAAAGGATATGAATAAATGATGAGTATTAATCAACACCACAGGTGTCATATACTCAAATATATGTTCAAATGTAAAGATCTCAATTAAATGAAGGTGAATAACTTGGATCGATTACATGCATAACTAAAGTATAGGATTTGCTCCCCCTAACTGTATGCATACAAAATATTTGTGTGAAGCAAGAGTATGCATAACAAGATATTAAACATTGAGAGCTTATCCTATACAAGAATAGAGGGCATTTATCAAATATAGACAATAAAATAAAAACATACCTTCATCATCTCCATGTTCTAAATGTAAAGAGACTAAACAAGATATGGCTCAAACAAAACATTAGTCTCATATGCTTATGTAATCACATGGAAATATTATATATGAATATATCAATATGTGCACGGATAGAAAGAGTGATACATATAGCTTGATCTCCATGCATTTCATCCTTGTGATTTAGGTATACCATCAATGAACGTTTTTCTCTCAACTCATATAAAGTCCAGAAATCACCTCTCACATATTCCACTTTCATATCCATATGAGACTAGTAGATAAAGAAATGCTTATAACAATGTTAGTCTCATGTAATTGGATTCGTCATTAATCGTCAAAACCAAATTAATGGCACTTGAACTTTCAAAAGGAACCGTCCATGGTGGCATCGGGTGCATTTAGGGATGCTAAAGTGCCCAACATTTTAGCCTACAAAATATTGATGGGTATAAAATGGGGTGGGCTAAATTTCTATTTATTTTGAACTAAAAATATATGAGGGATAGATAGGGTTGTGAAAGAACCCATGGGCATTGACCCATTATCACCCCCGTGCATCAAGGGGTGCAAGTTGAGCTGCGCCATCAACATCACGGCGAGGTGACTCCACAAACTCCTAGTCTCCGACGGCTGCATTGACACTTGTGGCATGTTCAATAGTGGCACCTACTACTATAGGAGACAAGCTTGATCCAATCGGATCTAGGGGAGCTTCTCCCAGCGGCGGGAAAGGTGGGATGGCGGGGGGGAGCTAGCACCAATGGGGCACTGACTAGAGTATACCAGCAATGTGGCCGCCCACAATGAACTAAGGGTCAACTTGGAGGCATAGGCTAAGGCCTAAGGGGCCTAAGGGGACTCAGGGTCAAAGAACTCAGCGTCACAATAGCATCCGAGGATGGCAACAACCCAACCCACAAGATGCCATTTGCTTCACTTGTGTATCCCCTTGCACTGTTGTAAAACCAACAATCAATTGCCGATGAAACCACAAGGCATGGTAACCGCCAAGTAGGACGATAGCGAGCCTGTTGGAAAGAAGAAGAGAGAGGATAGAGTAGTATAGTTGAAGGAAGAAATAAAGGTGGTCAATTCCACATGGGTCCTTGTCAATTTCCACATGGGTCATTGTGGATGCCACATAGTATAGTAGTATGGTATAAAATCAGGTTGCAAAATTGTTGAGATCCAATTTACAATGGTTTTAGGGCCTATTTGGTAGACCTCTGGCTCTAGCTCCACCTCTTCTGAAGCTGGAGCCCATCCAAACAGTTTCAGCTCCATCCAAAATAGAAGTGGAGCTAGCTGAAGTGTTATCACAAAATAAACTAGGGAGGTGGAGCTGCGTTTTGGCTGCTTCACAACACCTAACTTTTGAAATTAAGAGTTCTACTCCCTCTGTCCCATTTTAAGTGCAACCATAATTTTCCATGCCCAACTTTAATCATCCGTCTTATTTAAAAAAAATTAAAAACATAAGTCACGCATAAAGTATTATTCATGTTAATTAGAAAAAAATTTAAATAAGATGAACGATTAAAATTGGATATAGAAACTTATGGTTACACTTAAAATGGGACGGATGGAGTACCAAATAACCAAACAGCCAAACAGGCTCTTACTGTCGAGGGAATAAATCAGACCCGGCCATAGTTGAGGGAATCAAAATATACTCTCTCTTTTTTTTCTCTACAACAGATTGTAAAGACATCCAAAGAGGGCAGAAGTCTTCCTCCGGCCCAAACCCACTGACTTTCTGAGATGAAGCCCACTCGGCCCAAATAAAGCCCACAACCAGACAATCCTTCTTCGAGACGGCGTTGCGTCCCAAGCCCAAGAGCGGAAGAAAGAAAAAGTCAGCCGCTTTTGACTCGTTTCCTCCGGGTCCGCCGCTACTCCTCCGCTCCGCTGCCTGCCTAGCCTAGCCTTCGCCGTCGCCGCCGCCGCCGCCGCCCTCGCCGTTGATTCCGCCGCCCGCCGCGTGATGGACGGGGAGGAGGCGCCGCCGGGAGCGCTCAACCTGGCCGACTACGCCCCCGCCGGGGCCCGCACCGTCGACTGCTTCAGGCGCATCCGCAAGATCGGCGAGGGCACCTACGGGTAAGCGAAACTTCCCCTCGATCTCCGCCGCTCGCGCTATGAAATGTTTCGTGCGAAATCGCTGTCTCCCTTGCGGCGTGGTTGAGCCGCGGTGGAGTGTAGCGGTGTAGCCTTTGAGATCGTAGTGGGGGGCGGGATGTTCGTCTCACCCCCCTAGTTAGGGCTGTGGTTCCACGGAATTGTGAGAGGTCGAATTCTCGTCAAGTCAATGCACGCTTTGTGTCAATTGTTGCTGGCTAGTTTGCTCGCTTCAGAATGCGAGGCGACATTTTTGGTCTAGTTGTTTTCCCTATATTTAGTTACTCCTTTTCGTTTGAGCTCTAGAAATATGTAGTGGTTCGTTGGTTTCGGTTAGGTTTCGTTGGTTAATGTTGCACGTGGGGCATTTCATTTACAGCTGATTGCTGAATTCGCTAGTTATTTGGCAGATACGCTGACTAACCTGCAACAATGAGAAGTAATTTATCCACGGCGGCTAGCTAGTTGAGATTTTCACCATGATGAAAGAAAGAGGACATGTCTTAATGCTCGCTACAACACTAACCAATATAAATGATTCGTTCGAAACATCCCGTCTCTTCACACGGAGTAGCATATCTTTCTTAACATAGGCCTTTGTCCTGTACAAAGCAGGTTTATTAAAAATTCACATCTCATTTGCCGAAGTACATTAGGAAAAGATAAAGAATGTTAGAGACATGTAATTGATGGGTGAATTCGAATATTGTCTTGTTAGGTCCAACGACTTTGCAATTTCATCCATATTCCATAAGGAAAAAGAATCCAAGACTGCTCTTTCCTGTGTGCAGAAGAAATGAGGTTTCGCTTGATTGGCAACAGTCCAGATTATGCCACACTAGTATGGTTTGCAGTTTGCAGCTCACTGAGTCCAAAAATAAATGACGCAGTTGCAATATTTGTTTCCTTTTTATTTTCCTTAGGACCAATATATAATAACAATACATATTAAATATTTAAATGTGGTACCAGTTTTTTTATGAATTTACCTTCTTCACCATTGGCCAAGCTGGCAGTGCGCTAGTTTTACCTCTACATTTATTTATTTTTCCTAACAATCTCAGTGAAGTATTCGAGGCTATGGATATTATAACTGGAGAAAGAGCAGCACTTAAGAAAATCAAACTGGATGATGGCAAAGAAGGGGTAAGCTTTATGATATCCACAAAGCTATGGCTACTCTTTCTAATGAGCAACCGTGTTCATTGAAGAACATTGCACTTCTCTGATCTGATCCATACTTTTGTAGTTTCCACGCCAAATCTTGCGTGAGATTAAACTATTAAAAAAGCTGGATCACGAGAACATCATCAGATTGAAAGAAATTGTAGTATCTCCTGGTAACAAATTTCTTCTAGCAATTTCAAGATGTCTAAGAGTACAGAAAACTGCATATTCCCACCATGTGTAAATATTTTTCAGGTACAGCACATGGAGCAGGAGGATCAGGTCAGTTACTTTATTCTTTGTTTCTTGCATTCTCCATTGATGTGCTAATGCTGATATATTTTATTTGTTTTGTTTAATAATTTTTCATTCTGCTCAATTTTTTCTTCATATTGATCAATGCACAGAAATCATTCATAACCTATGCTAAAATTCTGCAGATGATTACATGTATAGGGGAGATATCTATATGGTTTTTGAATACATGGATCATGATTTGAAGAAAGTCTTGCACCACAGTACCCCATCCCAAGTCAAGGTACTCTGGTATATGTAGTTCTTCTATCCCATGTGTTTTAAGCAGGGGCGGAGCTAGAACGAAATGGAGGGGGGGTGCCACTTGTTTAATTTACTCACTTTATATCGAGTTTAAGTTGATATGGGTGCCTAAATTTATATTGAGGGGGGTGCACACATGGTGAAAATAGGTAAGGTTTAGTTACAAATTTTTTTTCACCGGGTTCCTGGGAACCCCTCCTAATGACTCTAGCTCCGCCCCTGTGTTTTAGAGAGATGCCCCCTTTCTTCTCGTACTTTCAAAGTGGACTATGGAATTTTGAGCTAAAGATTAAAGGAGCTATTGTCTTGGATTAGGAATTTTCTGCTTTCATCCTGAGAATTGAGAGATTTAAACTAGTAAATCACAAAACTTCCAAAATTGGTTCAAGTTCTCCAAGAATTCACCATAGGGGGGGTGGATCAATACCTGCTTTTATTTTTCCTGGACATGGATCCTGTCACCTCCTTCATCAGTAGCCTCAAACAACTAACTTGGCCTGGTTTCAAGTGTTTCCACACTACTGCTGCATGCCAGGGATGGATAGAGTGAGAGGCCATCTGTGGTTTGTGGACCATGGTGACATTTATGGGAATTGGGAAACCAGGTCTGGCAACAGTGACCAAGGAGGGCTGAGGGTTGCAGCAAGGAGTATGTGAAGGACAAATAAGTATTTGTGATGGTATCAAGGACGAGGGAGGTTGGGATAGTGGTAGGGATGTTGTCTTGTGCCTTGATGCCTATCGGATAGGATAAAATATTGCATGCAACAATTCACATGGTTAGCGTGGTACCTGCAGGTTCCAACAGAATAAAATTTCCACTAATACATACTTGCTGCAGAAATATGATTTAACTTGCTGTAACAATTAACATTGAACGGTAAGCTTACCAAAACAAAAGATTCTTCTCTCGCTCAGTTTCTCTTGTATAGTTTTATGCAAGCTGTTGTAAACAAATTAAGCTTCAGTGCTTCACCAAGCAGGATACAAGTTGATTGTACTCCTTAAGAACAGCCTATTCATTGTTGTCTATTTTCATTTCTGTAGTATTATATGGAGCAGTTGTTAAAAGGATTGCACTACTGCCATGTCAACAATGTACTTCATCGTGATATCAAAGGTTTGTTCTGTTTGAATGTATCTTCAACTTTTATATCTATGATCATTTTTATTCGACCCTCAGATTACTTGTTACCATTTATAGGGGCTAATCTTCTAATAAGTGGTGGTGGTAAGCTGTTAAAGCTCGCTGATTTTGGCCTTGCAAGGCCATTCACTAGAGACGGAAGTTTCACAAATCATGTTATTACTCTCTGGTACCGGTAAGTCGAATAAAGAATTAAGGACTTATGCTATTATATATCATCTTGTCCAACCCCAACATGTTTACTTGTGTTGTATTTTTTTCCTATCTCCTTTTGCTGATATCAATTTCCTTCATTCTACAAACTGCTCTTAGACCCCCAGAGTTGCTCCTCGGTGCCACAAATTATGCTGAAGCAGTGGATATATGGTCTGTTGGTTGCATATTTGCAGAATTTTTATTGAGGAAACCATTATTTCCTGGCAGAACTGAGGTATGATACATTCCTTTTACTTTTCCTTGTTTTCCTATTTCTATTATTGCTATTATTGAGATTGGGACTAGGGGATAAGATCAATGAATTACCTTGTACTTTTGATGTTTTCTAATACTCGATAATGCATGTTGAACGCCTAATATTACAACTTATGGTTTCATGTACAAACTGAACCTTTTTTTGTCTATAGCATGATGATTTTTTGGACGCGACTATGTGGCGCGTAGTAGTGCTTTAGCGCTAATGAGCGACCGTCCAAAAATAGAAACCCACGGGCTACAGCAATCTCCCGCACATGTTTTTCCAAAAAAAAAGAAAAAGAAAAGGGAATCGTAAGCAGTGACACAACGCACTTACCAAAAATAGAAGCGTTGCATCTTTTCCTCAGGTCCAGCTTTGTTGGAAAAAAGACATGTCATAATGCACTTTCACTTTTAGTACTATGCAGTCACATGCTAACAGAGTCTAGTACTTTTAAATTCTTTGGTGGCTTATATCTTTTAAACCGTATATTGTTTTTAAGATCCAATTGAACCATCGTAATCTACTGAACATATATGACAAAACTGAGTCCAATATTGAATATATTCAAATTATTTACTTTTGTAGCAGTGTTGTTACTTTAAATATTATGAAGAGTTACTTCCCTATACCAATATAGTTACTTTAAATACCATGAAGAGTTGCTTCTCTCTAGCAGTGCAGTTATTTCTAACACCGTAAAAGGTTAGTTCTATTTTTTCAGTTACTTTCCTCTATGAGTGTAGCAACTTTTAATAATATGAAGAGTTACTTCCTATATAAAATAAATTGCTTTCATCGAAAACAATAATCTATAGATATATACACAAACATATGGTTTACCTCAAATAAAAAAGTTATGTATTTACTTGTGAATCCACACTTTACTATGAAGATATTTCTTTTAACACATATATGTAATTACTTCTAATGCATTCTATAAAAAGTTGCTTCCATTGCAGAGCTTAGTTACTTCTACTGTTTAACTAAATTACTTTTAAATATTTCAATATATTTAATATTGTACTCATTTTATCATATATTTTGAGTGGAGTTTAATGGTTAAAACAGATCTTAAAAATAATACATGGTTTGAAATATATAAGCCATCAAAAAATTTAAATAGATTAGTAGATGTACTACATGAGACTCACATCGTTGGACGGCTGTAGCAGGCATCTCGCCGTAAGACTAATTCGCGCGCGCGCAGGGATTAGATTTTACCTTCACCGTGACGTTTCTTATCTGTCCAAATTTTTTTCAGTTAAGTTCTACTTTTACTCCTCTTCTCCATTTCAAAAGTTGTAATCTATGGTATATAGTACACTTGAAACATATGATCAGAAAGATATATGAAGGATAGATATGTTTCTTTGGAAAAATGCCATTCCACAAATATATCACGTGCACACATTATATTCTTTTATATTTTGAAATTGAGCAACTATTGATCCTGATTGCCCTTTTTGTTACGTTTCCTCATAGTGAAATGACATTATGCCAAATTTCTTTTTTGCATTTTTTTCTTGGCTCCAAGAACGACCCCTCCCCCTCATAAGCACTAAGCATGTCAACACAATGGTCTTTCTTTTGGATTCAGATATATTACTGCATGATATTTACAATCTTCATTTTGTATTTTATTTCCATATAAAACTCTGACAGAAGCTCGTATGTTGTTTTAGCAAGAGCAGCTATCAAAAATATTTGAACTCTGTGGATTTCCAAATGAGGAAAACTGGCCAGGAGTATCCAAACTTCCATTGTACAAGACTATTCGTCCTACAACCCCAACGAAACGACGTCTGAGAGATATTTTTCACAAGTAGTCCACCTGCTATCACTTCTCATCCGTTTATCAACAGTAGTTACTGTTTTTCTATTAAGATTAAGAATAATGGAGTAATGTGGCTAAAAACTTTCTTCTACAGCTTTGACTCTCATGCAGTGGATTTAATTGATCGCATGTTGATTCTTAATCCTACTGAGGTATGTTACCCTTTCTTATGTTTCAGTGTACAAGAATTCATATGATGTTGAGGCATGAGAGCCATCTCAATTTAGGCCACTTATACCATTTAAGATGTAAACTACTATATGTTTATGTAAAGATTTGGACTAATTTATAGAACTCAAGATATCCATTGATAACGATTAGTTCTAAACTTACCCCCCCCCCCCCCCCCCGGTCAACCATTGCAAAAGTTTGAGTTGCCCCCCTTAACTACAAAGCCAGACAAGATACACCCCTCAATTGTTGAATCTGGACACTTAATCCCCTGCGCCCTATTTTAGATGGTTTAGACCATGCTGTCCGACATGTCATCTCCATGTGGCTGAACAATCCATCAATTTGCGACTGTCCTATTGTTTGAAGAAAAAAAGCACATAAAGGTGTAATTTGCAGAACTGAATTTGACAAGGTTGCCATTAACATAACAATAAGGCTGACATTAACATAACCATAATATACCGTGTCTTGCATTACATGCATAAGTCACTTAGCCATAAGTCTAACATTAGCCACAAGCAAAATCAAAAGATCATCATCCCACAAGTCTGACATTAGCCATAACCATAAGTCTTCCCTTATGGTCCTGATGGTGAGGTGATGTTCTGACCTTTCCCTGACCACCACTTTAATTTTGTCAATCTTCCCGGTTGAAGAAGGCAGAGCGGCCTTCTGGTGGCTGCTCGTGGTTAGGGATTTGATTTGAGTAGCTACAGCCTACGGTTAGGGATTTGATTTGAGTAGGGAATTTTCACGGGGAGAGAAGGGGAGAAGCAGAGGGACAGATGGGATATTTTAATGTGCTGCCATGTCATCGCCAAGTGGAGGTGCCACCTCAGACAACCTGGCCAAAACTACCAGCACAAAGGGGTTAAGTGTCTGGATTTAATAGTTGAGGGGTGCGTGTTGTCTGGTTTCATAGTTGAGGGGGTAAATCGAACTTTTGTGATAGTTGAGGAGGGGTAAAACGTACTTAACCCTATTGGTATCGTAAACATAAATAGTTGTTACATTTTAAACACATTCAGGGAAGGTTCTATGTTTAATTGCTATGCTATATCTATGCTGCTCAAAGGAGTAAGCGGGGATTGTGCACTCCACACTCAACTTCACCTCTTCACTTCAGAAGATAGTTGTGAGTGGATTTGTGTAGACATGTGTGTTAAATGTAGGAAACCTTTGTAAAACACCCTATGCAGGTCGAGGTTGTTTGTTGATCTGATGTAAATCATATATGCATTTGTTTGAACTGGACAATAATTAATGTGCACCTTTGGGATACATGTGCACATCATTCTAGTATAAATAAAATTTAAATTTCTGAAATCGGATATATCTGGAATTCAATATGAATGGAGCCAGCTAATATCAATTTTGTATCAGTTTTTTATACTATGATTTAGAGAATCAATTGTACTCTCTATAGAAGAATATTCTTAAGGTTTTTTTACTGTGGGTCTTGAACGTGGAAACAATCTAATACCTTTCTGCTTTTATTTATTCTGCAGAGGATTTCCGCACATGATGCTCTTTGCGCAGCATACTTCATCACTAAAATGTAGTGTCCTTTCTGTGGAAAAGAATCTAGACTCACTGTTCTTTGCAAAGGATTAAGTTCCTTGGCGTTAAATAGGTGTAAGTACTATCTGAAGACTGTTGTTTCTCCTTCTGACCTTGGTTTAGGAACTATAGGGCTACTGCGTAGTAAAAATGTTTTTTTTTTGTCTTTAATAGCTTCAATAGATATGTGGATATGTTGTACATTATTACTTGTGACAATCCATTCCATTAGTTTTTTTAATAGTAAGCAATTCTTCTTGTGCTATTGTGGTATGGAGAACAGCACTTACTGAAGTGAAGGCTATACAAAGTGCCTTCAAAGTACAAAATAAAGCCTAAGCAGCTCTTTACTGGTATTCTAATTATACAGCATGTTATTTGTTTCAACAAATATAGAGTACTGCAATATGCTTGCAGTAAGGATCACGTGATCATATTTTATGAGTCTGCTTTTCTGTGTTAATGCCAAGGCCCAACTGAATATCCATATATAGTATCACTGCGCAATGCCACTGCCAGTACTAGACTGGTAGACGTGTACTTTGGTGACCTCAGGGTCTTGTAAGCTTAGCATCTGATGAGTAGCTATAGGCTATACATGTATATCTATGATAGACGATGGCTGAGGGCACTGAAGATTTTGCCCTCTCAAATTTTGTTAATAAAAATGTTTCTATCTATCCCTCTGCATTATACTATGTACATTTACAAATGGTGAAGAGGGTCAGTTTGCTTCTATGCAAAAAATTTTGATTCTTTTTATCAATATCTACTGTAATCATGACTGTTCTGTATTCCATCAGAAGTACTCCTTGTGGAAATGGAAGCGAGTTGTCGTTTTGTGGCTCATGTCAAGTGATAGTTTCTTCAATTCTTTGGCTAGTGTGGGCTTTCCACAGTAAAATACCCCTGCAAGTATAAAGAAAATTTACTATGATCAGAATGATATAAGATTGACTGATTGTCAGTTGTTTTTTTTCATGATGCTTAGCATTTGATACAAATGGTAGAATTGGGGTGCTTGAAAACAACTAGGAGATCGAGAGGTTTCAAATTGGGTCAGAATATTACCTACTGTAGAATTGGGGTGCTTGGAAGCAATTCTAGTGAAGACCTCCTTCCAGTTAGGCCTTGCAAAATGTGTCCTGACCTGTCAATTGCACATAACACATTTTATATCAGTAATCTACTTCAAGTTGTTTTGTCTGTTCATCCATCTGAACACCCATTTCTGTTTCAAATGCAAATTCATCGTACTTAAAGAGTAACCTTACCCTTGTGCCTGACACAATATCTACACCATGCTTTGCATGGTTCAGGGCCTGCACCATTGAGAGCAGCGTCGACCTGGCATCACGCTCTTCATACACACTTGTGAGATAGTTGTGCAGCTCTATGACACCCTGATTGCAACAGCAAAAAGCATGATCACCTTCATCAGTACACAAAAATTGCAAGGAGAGCAGCACTAGTTCAGGGAGCAGAAGGCATCACCTTCTTGTCCATTTCAGCAACTTCATTCATCACCCCCTTGAACCATTCGAATGACCCTGGCTCTCTTGTAACCCAGTAGAAGTGTGCCCTGCTCGTCCTGTACGCTCTCCTCTTGTTGCTGCTCGCCGTCGACACACTGAAGCTGTTGGCGCTGTCGTCAGACCTGCTAGTCTCCATTGCCAGATCCTGAAGAATTCAGACAAGGGAGGAGGCATCAATGCAATGATGCATCTTTCAGAAGGCTGAGAAGGGAACCCAGCTAGCCTACTGATGTTAAAGAAACCTTACCATCAGCTCATCAGCCAGCTTGATGTTGTTCAGCAGATCTCTAAGAATGCTTATGAAAGGCGTCGCACCGATCCCGAGGCCGACAAGGAGAAGAACATCGTAGTTCCTGAAATCCTGCGCCGGCGCGCCATAAGGGCCATCTACAAGCAACCTTGGTGGACTGCAGAAGAGATGAGGGAGTGCTCAGTTCCATAGCTAACTCTTAGGATCAGAAATGACAATTGACAGGGAGAGTGCATTGACCTCTTCTGTTCTGCCATGCCTAGAGCTCCAAATGAAGCTCTTCTCGGAACGCTTGGCACGAAATAGTTCTCGACGAAAATGCGCTTGAGCTCCTGCGTCCAGTCCCCCCTGGTCTGGATATGGACACTGATGTAGTCATCTCCAGGTGCTGAAGTGATGGAGAAAGGGTGCCTGAAGCAATGGGGCAAGAAAGAACACCATCAGTTACTTGTGTCTGAAAGTAGTAGTAGTAGATAGTCAGAGCAAGGCTGACTGAAGCAGTAGATTGAAGGGCAGACGAACCATTCAAATGGAGAGATCGTTGGACACTGAAGGAAAATGTACTGCCCACTCCTGTATCTGAATCCATAAGGCTTTGACATTGTGATGGTCAACACATTACCCGGTAGAAGACACACCTGAGTGGATCAAATTCAGTTAAGAACATGAACCTAATTTAGCCTATTTTCATTTTCATATTTTTACTACTACAACCATCCCAAAATATAGTTACTCCTGACTATGCACTTGGATGGTATAGCCAGAAGTAGCTATATTCTGAGACGAATGGAGGTAGTAGTAAAGAAAATGATAACAGATGCTACTCATATAGTTTATACGCTATATCCTTCTTTTTGTCTCATTTGGTTTCAACATTAGATGGTGTCACTTTTGAATTGGATAGGATGTGATGGAAAATTCCTAAAAGGAGATAGAAGCTTAGTTAGGCCTATAATATCATCAATATCGTAGTGCCAATATGACCTAACCCCAGAACCTTATCTGACCGTCCACATGCCATTATCTTTCATGCATCCTGAATCTTTCCATTCCCTATACTATATTATTGTTGCCTTCAAGATTCTTATGATATAAATGGATCACCAAACTTAATCAGTGTATGTTCCTCAATGCAAATTATACAACCTTTTTTGGTTTGGATCCAACCAACTAATAATTTTAAGAACAATTTATCGTTCAAGGAGTGATGATTAATGCTTGAAATTCAGAAAATGTATGATCATTCAGATGTTCAGTTACCTTCAGGATTTTTACTGCATAAGCCTTGGATCTGAAGGCCCGTAGCGTCCTTTCGCCGACATAAAGCATCAATGGCACAGCAATGTACATCCATGTCTGAATATCACCAAAGAAATCACTGTGTTAACTTCAGATTACTTGATAAGAGAAGGTTGTCTAAATTTCACAATGAACTCTAAATGTGAGGTTGCAAAGTTGTAAGAGTGCAGAATCTAGACATAATGAACTCTAAATCTGTGGTTTTTTTTATGTTCAGAATATGACACCTCAGCGTCGAGGAGATAGGGCAGATTGTGTTGGAATTGGATTGTTCAACGTTGGCCCTAAATAATGGCAACCGTAGATGTTGAGTGCAAAGTATGTACTCTTCTGCATTTCAGTAGTTGATTATGTTTTCTTAATGACTGATTTGTAGATGCCAAATCCGTGACCCTGTACAACCAACGCCCTGTGTTGCCAGCAATGATTGAACGGTATGTAGCCAAGATGCATGTGGCAAAGGACAGGATTCATATGAACCATATCGCAGATTGAATAGGCGCAGAAGCATCAATCCGAGTTAATTAGTGTTGAGGAATTTAGGGGTAGCACAAGTCAACCAGGGTGGAAAAAAAATCCATGGCAAATGTGAATGAACCTATTCCAGCTATGTAAGTATCATGAGCTTGTAGTACACCTCATTAACTTATCATACTATTTGTGACTGACGCAAATCAAAATGTGCTGTTTAGCCATGTGGTTGTTGGCAAGACAAAACAAAAACAAAAAAACAAACCCCTGCCTTTGGCAAATGTAGCACTCCAAAAGGAAGAACAAATGGAAAAAGGGATTAGAGTGCTACCCATAAGGCTATGAATGCAGATTTGTGAATGGCACTGACCATTGTAATTGTGGAAGATAAAGCTAATTTCTTATAGGTGTTTTCCATGTGCTCAAATTAGAAATGGTGCAAAAATAATTAAATTAATTTTCTGTAGTTTTGGAAGTTTGTATGCCTTAAAACCAACCAATGCCAGACATGCTTTAAAGGAAAACCACTAGCAGATCACACCCAATCATAATCTACAAATGGATGCCATTAACGAAATCCCCTGTCACTATAATTGTAACCTAATTGAGTAATCCAATGGGCTAGCATTTCCCCCTATAAAAATCTCTGTGGATCCAAAAATATCCAATTGGCTAGTATTTTTCTCCTATAAAACTCTCTGTGTATCCAAAAAATATACTACATATATATATGTGACAGTGATTTCATCTCCCAGACTGATTTGCAGGATACTTTATTATTTCATGGTCACAACTCACAACAGATTGGGCTTGGCATTCGGTTGGACCCCGCATTCCCCAATTGATGCGTAGGCATCTGAAAATGACAAATTGGCGTATCAAACCCCCTCAATACTGGACAGGTTCATATTTGCTTCGGTCGATCGAGTTCCGGTCTGACTCGAACGCGACACCAACCGGACAATAAATTGTGCGTGCGCCGGCGTCAACATCCCGTTACCATCACTGTACGTTCCGTGCAAGAGCTAGCTTTGCAACAGTACGGTCCGTAGAACCCAACAGATTTTATCCAAGACTGCTATGTTTATGGAATGATTGGATCTAAACTCTTTGCGGTGAAACTGGATAGAAGCCATGTGATTTATACATCATTAAACAGATTATTACAATGGATCATCGATTTAATTTTATGAATAAATTAAATATTTTAAGAAATAGACTTAACAAAAAGAAAAATCAGGTTGTCGAAGCGACGCGCCGTAGAGAGAAACGTATTTTTTGGGTGTGAAACAAATAACCCGTTTCAATAATTTAGTGAATAAGCTTAAAAAGAAGAGCGTGGAGCAAATAATCTATTTTCATAATCGAGTGAATAACTTGAAAACAACATGATGATATTGAACAGTGGTTTCAAGACTATCTAAAACAGGTTGGAGTGTTGGACACGGATAGAGATGCATCTAGTCATCCTGGACCCCACATGTACGTGGGCTCCACTCACATTTATGCACACGTCATTTTTCCTCCAAGGAAAGCAATTTGAAGCAGTGCAATGGTGGTCTACATATCTTCCTTCCATGTCCAATGTCCAAAGCATGGACCTACCCAAAAATAAATTGATGTGCCTGTGTAACTACGTACTACTAATGACCTTAAAATTTAACTTTGAATTCTTGATACTCACTAAATAATTTCTGGTGTAATGTCCTAATTATCTTTTCCTTTTTCTGTTTTGCAATGATTTTGGCCGGCCCCCCAAGAGGTCAATTGTCCCTTAATTTGCAACTAAAATTTCTCTCCTTTTTTTTTCCAATGGTGCCCTGTGCCCATCACCGTAACAGGCAGGACCAGGAGGAGGAGGATGACCCTAACAAATGGATAACAAAAGCAAAAGCCACCAAAGGAGAAAGAGAGGGCGAGAGCGAGCGAGAGCACACATCCAAAACGATCGATGCTAGAACCCAAAAAAACGTGCAATTGCAACCTTTTGGAAGGATCAAAATTAACCGGAAAAATGTCGCCCTCACGAAAGCTACCCCACGAGGCAAATTACTGGCATCTGTGATGAGCATCCTAGCAAAAAGAATCTATTGTACGGTAAGAAGTACAGAGTAATTAGCATTTGACTTTTTTTAAAAAAACAATATTGAAAATGTAGTACTTTTTTTACCATTATTTCATATCAATGTAGTAGTAAGTTTTTTTAAGGATATCGAAATAAGTATATAAAATTATAATAGTTCTTAACTTTTACAGCTATTATTCTAGATTTTGAGAGTTTAATAGGATCTTATTATAATCAAGTACTCCGAGGCTCAGTTTAAAACAGATTGTTGATAAGAATTATATAGTACTTCATTATAGGAACAAATTAGATATTTTGATAAATAGATAAACATATAGCTTAAATATATTTTTAAGCGTGAAAAAAATATTTCCTTCCAATAATCTGATGAATATATTAAAAAGAACTAAGCTCTGATAGTGAAAGGTAAAGATGACGTGACAAGGTAGCTAATATAAGCTTTACTTACCGTCCTCTGGTGCCACTTGGTGACGAGGAACATGAACCAGCCATGAACGAGCAGAAGGAGGTAGACGACGATGAGGAGGTGGTGCGAGTACCAGAAGGCGTTGAAGCCGGCGAGGTGGCCGAGCGGGAACGGGAGGCGCGGCGCCTCCCGCTTCCGCAGCGGCCGCGTCGCCAGCGTGAAGGAGACCACCATGAGCACCACCATGACGATCCCGGTGACCCCCTCGACGCCGGCGAGGAGGCCCCGGTACGTCGGCCGCGACGCGCCGAAGAAGCCGGACAGCAGCAGCTCGTACTCCTCCCGGCTCGACCCGATCAGCCGCGGGAAGTCGCACGCCAGGTGCGTCCCCGCGTGCGTGCAGATGCCCAGCGCGATTGCCGTCGCGATGATCTGCAGGTGTAGCCAAAGTTTTTTAGCTTTTGCAATTACTAGCAACCTCAACAATGTGCTAATTTTAGCCTCGCTCTCTTTGCTCTACAACTAATTAGTTGTGAAAAAGTAGATGAAACAATCAAAATTAATTTATAAAGGCCCGTTCTAAACTCCAACTCTAAACTTCGTTCCCTAAAAAAAAGTTACCTAAAAAAAGTCTAAACTTCAACTTTGTTGTTTTTTATACGTTTCCCAAACTATTAAACGGTGTATTTTTTATAAAATGTTTTTATATAAAATTTTATTTAAAAATTCAAATGAATCTATTTTTTAAGTTTGTAATGGAGTAATAATTAATTAATTATTTGTTAATTTCTTTGCTCCGGTTTTCTTGCCATTTAAGAGAAAAAACGAACGGAGCGTAAGTAAAATTTTTATATACGTGTTTTAAATTCCAAAGAAAATGTTAAAAACAAAATATTAAAAAAATAAAAATTAACTTTTAAAATTTAAATTTGACGTATGACGACTGATCCTACATAGGTATAAGCAGGGGTATTTGTAAATTTATCAATGGTTTTTATATGTTACAATAAAATGCTTTACACTATTCATATTCTAGTTTTATGATAACGAGTTAAGAGGGTGGTAAATTTATAATTGCTAATGTCAGAAGAAACGATTATTGCGATCTTGACCACCTTGATCCTATAAGTACATTTACAAACGTTTTATGCCTGGAGCTTAGCTTAATGAACACGTGGCCCTGCCGGTTGGAGTAGCTTACAGTGGCCCCACATGACAGTGGGAGCCCTGTCGGTCGGGGAGACTTTTGAATGACCGGCGCTTTGACCCTGAGCCGACCGGGCCGGGGATCTTCTGTACCCGCGGGTTCCCCGGCCACGCTACACTGATTGGACCGCCCCGGTGGGGCCCACTTAAAGCCCGAGCTACTCTCCACCTACACGGCCCAAAAGTCGCACCGCCCCACATGGGCCGAGCCGCAGAAGATCCCGAGCCGGCCCACCCGGGCCCACAAGGCAGAGACGCACCGGCCGCCAATCATTGGGCGACGAGTCGTCTCCCCGAACTCCGGCGACGGCGACCTCCCAACCACCGGCGGTGAGCTCGAGAGGAGGAGGAGTACCTACCTTGTGGAAGGTGATGCTGTCGTCGAAGGGGACGAAGAAGCGGGCCCAGGAGGAGCGGAGCCACGTCAGCGTGTTGCGGCAGACGGGGAGGAGGACGAGCGCCATGTTGAGCTTGAGCGTCTCGGCGGCGCCCTTCGCCGTCGGGAGGCAGTACCCCATCACCCGGAACGCCGGCGTGCGGCGGTACTGCACGAACTTCCACGCGAACAGTCCCGCCATGGCGGCGAACCACAGCGCCAGCACCCACGCGCGCCGCCAGTTCTCCTCCGCCGCCACCTGCGCCCTCGCCGCCGCTCGCCGCGGGCTCCACCGCCGCCTCCAGTCGTTCCTCCTCCCCTCCGACTGCCCCTGCCCCTGCCCTTGCCCTCCTTGCTGCCCTCCGCCGCCGCCGCCGAGGTTCTGGCTCCACTGCGCCGTGCTGCCGCTGCTGAGCGGCCGGCTGTAGTTCATGTACGCGTCTCGCTGGAGCAGCAGCGCCTCCAGCTGCCACAGCTGCACCACGCCGTCGCCGGAGAAGACGAGTCAAGCTCAAGCAGCAACGGACACAGAGCACAGAAATGGCGAAAGCGAAATCCTCACCTCGATGTAGCCGAGGTCCTCCGGGTCGAGCTCCTCCATGATCAGCGACGCGTACTCCTCCGCCTGCTCCTTCAGCTTCGACAGCTTGTTCGCCGACGCGCTCAGCACGATCAGCTGTAAAAAAAAAAATAACCACATGCAGTAAAAATTATTTAATTACCTTAACTAACAGTGAAGTTAATCATTCGTGTAGCCTAGTTTGACACTGGAAATGCTGTGAGAGTGAGAGTGACAGTTACGGTAGTAGTAATGTCGTTAGCCATGCAACAACGGAAGCTTCTAAAATGTTACTGTCCAGTGATTTTACAAGTTAATCATGGAGTAATAAGTAAGTGTAATTAAGTCTACTTGCCTCCTGCACTTCCTCCCTAGTGATCCTCCCGTCCACGTTGGTATCCACCCTGAAAGAAACTCGTTTATTTTTTTACAAATTCATCGAAACACGCACGAACTCAAAATTCGAAGGAAATTTGGTTGGATTTATGGCTGGCTTAGGTACATGTCGAAGAAGATTTGGAGGCGCGCGTCGAAGCTCTGGTCGGAGATTTGGACCCAGAAGTCGTAGAGCTCCTCCTTGCTGATCCGCTCGAGCTCCTGCCGCCGCCGCCGCGCCAGCGCGTCGAAGATGCCCACGGCGAACTCCTTCGAGTCCTCCATCCCTGCACCAATGCCGGCGCCGTACGCCGTGTCATCGCGTGATCGCGCCCGCGCGCGGCGCGCCATGGACATGGAGGATGGCTTTGCTTGCTTACCGATGCAGTCGCCGAAGTTGTCGCGGGAGAGGAGGCCGTCGCGGGAGAGGGCGTTGAAGCGGTGCTCGACGCGGGTCCAGAGCTCGGCGGCCTCGGCGGAGCCGGTGGTGCGGCTGATGAAGCGGAGGCCCTTGAGGGCGCGCCTGGCGCCGGAGCGGGACCGGTTCAGCCGCGCCTGGATGCGCCGCCGCTCGCGTGCGGCCATCGCCGCCTCCCGCGGCGGCGGCGGCTCCGACGGCGTGGGGGCGCGAGGCGCCGGCGCGGGCGACGGCGACCGTAGCCACGCGAACTTCTTGCGTATCCGCGACGACGTCGACGAGCACCGGCTCAGGCTCCGCCCGCTCCCCGGCGGCGTGTGCGCGGCGCCGCCCCCGGCCAACGACGTGGGCCCGTACAGCGCGCCCGTGGTGGGCGTCACGCTCCGCACCACCATGGACTCCTCGTCGAGCTCCAGCATGACCTCCACGAGGTCGCTCTGGTCGGCGAGGAACGCCGGCAGCATTCCACCGACGCCATCGCCGCCGGCGGACGACGACGTCGGCGCGAACAGCTCGTCGCTGTAGGCCGTGTTGAACGACCCGTTCTCCGTCGACGCCTCCGTCCGGTCGTCGGCGAGGTAGTCCGCGATGCGGCGGTGACCCGTCGCCCGCCGCCCGCTCGCCGACCCCCGCGACGGCGTCCACATGTCTCTCTGCGGCCGCCGCCCGCTACCTCGCTTCTTGCTGCTGACCTCGCCGTCGACCTCCGAGCATATCTCCGCGCTCTGCTTCTGCTCTGCTCTGCTTCGCTGATGGTGAAGAAGAAGAGCTCGGCGCGGCAATGGTGGTTGGGATTCGGTGTGGCTCGAGTGTCGGACGCATCCAATCCAAGAGGACGGAGATAAAAAGTAGGCAAACGGTGGGTGTCGTGTGATCCGGGAGAGAAGAGGCGTGATCGAACGGCTCAGATTACTTACACAAAACAAGAAAAAAAACATTAGTGCATAATTGAGCCTTGATTATTGCAAACTTAAAATATGCTGATGCTCCGTCCGTTTCATATTATAAATTGTTTACCTATTTTTCAATCAAATATTTTTAAGTTTGACCAAATATATAAAAAATATATAGTATTATTTTCAACACAAAACATACATATTATCAAATTATATTCAATATTAGATTTAGTAAAACCAATTTAATATTTTATATGTTGCAAAAAACTTAGTCAAATTTAATAGAGTTTGACTGGGAAAAAAATCAAACAATTTATAGTATGAAACGAAGGAAATATATAAATATAGAAAGTTTTCAGATAAAACATATCGTTCAACAGTTTAAAAACCGTGCTAAAATCTACTTATATCTTAATCGTGAAAGAACGGGGCCTAATTGGTTTAGGTTTTTAACGAACCAAACTATCATCATAAAATTAGATGGTTATGTAATTTAATTGGGGTATTTTTCACGGTCAAGTTCTTTTGATGGGATTTTCATAGCTTTCAGTTTCATGAGGACTGACAGTGAGAGAGTCGTCTGCTCTATAACTCTAGTGAGTGAGTGAGTGAGTGAGTGAGTGACAGAAAGAGTGCTACTGGGCCTGTGGACTTTGTCCTCCCTATACCTACTGCGCCGTATTAGCGTATCCGATCTGATTAGCTACAGATTACGGAATAATCAATCATTCAGTCATGGTAGCCTGCAAGCTAACAAACACTGAAATCGACTAGGGCCAAGTGGGAGATAATAATCAGCCCAAGTGTTTTGCAGTTATAATTACCCAGTCATTAGCCAGTCTCTGAATATATATCTAAGGAAATTAAACTCCACCGTTATTACACAAATAACAAAATCACCTTCCATTTTGGTTTCTGGCAAAACGCCACTGCTGCAAACGGGTGTTGGCTAGCTAGCTCGTACTGAAACCTGAAAACGTGTGTGTGGTACTAGGAAAAGGAGGGACAGGGGCGTAGTACGTTGGATCACACGAACACATTGGGCGGATGCTTTGCTTGTCTGCGAGCGGCTATGGAGGTGAGCAAACCGGTGTTGTTCGTTCGTTAGCTAGATCGGTGCTCCAAGGGCTCCGGCCAAATCCAACTTCTTCTGCAGCTGATCCGCACTGAAACATGTTGGCTGTATCCAACTACACAGGGCTATCTTGTGTCTTTGGCTTTGCCTGCAGAAGCAGCTAGCTGAACGGCATTGACATGGTGCCTATCTATTTGGAACAGGAATGTATTATGTACCATTACCAAAGCAGGCCAAGGACAAGCACACGAGTAGTTAATCTCTCTTGTATATATATTTGATGATAGAAATGTCTTATATCCCTGACCTCAATCAATCTCTTCTATATAGTATGTCGGATTTGCAATAGTATTACTTCCCGTAAAGGGGCGGCAAAATCAAAAAGAAAAATGCCGTTCTGAAGTAGGTATAAGTACAGATGAGTGGCGGCTCCTTCTGTCTTGCCATTAATTTATTTATAAATATAGTAGTTCAGAGGTTAGTAGTTTTTATCACCCTAGCAAGTAACATCTGTTGTTTTAAATGTTAATAGTCATTTTTTTTATCTTTATAGTTGTTCAGCTCAAGATTATCTTCAAGGATGATGAAAGATGAAAAATACATCTCCAACCACTTAGTACACCCAGTTAAAAGCTCAATTCTTAACTTAGTTATAGAGTTGGGCTAACCCAGTTGTCAGGGCCGCCATCGAATCCCCTATCTATCTGCGTTAAATTTGTAAGTAAGTTCATATTTCTCTCAATAGTATTGATATTTGGCTTCTTCGTGGTATCTAACTTTTTTCCTCATGATGGTTAAGCTTGCCACTACATGTAGTCAAGTTGTATTGATTAAAAATATATATAGTCTGCCAAACTATATTCAGATATGGCATGGCTAAAAAATTTCATAATATCACACGCTTGTAAGTTTTCATAATGTATGATTATAAATTTAGTGGTTGAGTGTCATACGTAGCTTTGAATTTGAAAAGTGAAACATAGATTATTTTTTTTTAGGGAGGAGTTGAGATTTTAATACACGTACGTTCCGTTTTCAACGTGTGTTAAGTAGCCAACAATCAATCAAAGAAAAAGATGCAATTGGGACGTTAATTAGTCTGATTATTGCAGAGGCTTCGTTTTTCTACCTAAAAGCCAGCAAAGATTTCGCTTTTGGAGCCGACGATTAACGTCTCTGTTGTGAAAACCACCGTTTAACGGACTGACGCTAACTGAGTAACGAGGTGCCATAGGCACCGTGCAAATCACGGCTATCATGGGGTTATGTCCCTCTCATTTTCATCTATTTCTTTCTTGAAAATGCCTTTCTTTTTTTTACCATATTTTGATGATCTGTGGTGCCTAAAGCTGGTCTTTTTCGTGGAACTTGTAGCACCTGGCCTGTTGCCAACCACATGAACAATGGATTAGTTGGGTCACACAAATCCTCATCAGTACAGACAGTACTACTTCTTAGAAGGAGTATCTGCATGAGCCTCCTGGAAGCAGAGTATGTGTGCATGATTTAACAAATGACAATTTCATTTTCATCTTCACATTACATTCGATAGAAATTTACGAATTAATAAAACCATGTGAATTTCTAACCTTCCAATTTATTCCACGATTATTGTGCCAATAACCTCTAGCTTTATTTTTGGTGGCTTCTTGTGAATTACGCTGTGAATTTTGGCGACCACTAGAGTGGTCAGTGAAGGAGTATGGAGAGGGTGGGGGAAGGTGAGAGGACTTGCGATGGGTTCCGATGAGGCGGTATCAGCACCCTAAACCCTAAATCACCCATTAAAAATTCATCAATTTAATTAAAATTCATTCTAAATTTAAAGTTTGGTTTTTAAATATGGGGTAAAAAATTTAGACCCCTTCTGATTTTTTGAGTTGCAATTTTGAGACGGAATTAATATGAACATATTCTGTACGTTTAGAATATAAAGAAATTAATTAAGACGACCATTAATTTACTCATATAAACATTTGAACGAAATTCTCTAATCCCATAAAAAGGTTCACACAGTTGCTGAAGAGATGGCCTATCGGTGAGCTGACGAGGGCCTGGAAATTCGTGCGTGTATATCCAATGTCCATGCATGTGCATATCCGAAGTTATGCTCTATCAAAAAAAAAAATTCCTGCTGCTCATGAACTGTTTTGCTTCCTCGGACAAGACAAGAAGTTGAGTTTTGTAGCGACATAGATCCTCATAAATGAAACTTGGATGGAATATTGTCTCTCGTGGCTTGATCATATAGTAGTACGTGTCCAGCGGCGTAATATTATTTTTAGCAAAAGTGCAAGTAAATCGTATTGTTACGTGCTTCCCCTTGCCTACCTAGATATAGGGTGTGTTTAGTTCACGCTAAAATTAAAAGTTTGGTTGAAATTAGAACCATGTGACGGAAAAGTTGAAAGTTTATGTGTGTAGAACAGTTTTGATGTGATGGAAAAGTTAAAAGTTTGAAGAAAAAAAATTTAAAACTAAACTCAGCCATAAGAGCTTTGATCGATAAATTCTAACAATTTATTTATTGGTGGTTTATTTTGTTTAGTCTTATGCCGCGGTGATATTTTAGAGATTATGCCGCGGTGATATTTTAGAGATTATTACCGTGTACTCTCTTCGTACCAAAGAAAACTAACTTCTGAAAATCTTCAGAAGATAATTCTTTTTAAACAGAGGGTGTACTAAATATGGGATTAAAAAATGACAAGTACACCGAACATATGAGGTTAAAAAAATGACAAGTACACCGAACCAAAAGCTTTGCCCTTCTGGGCGCTAGGTGCTCCTGTGGTTTGAGGAAAACTTAATGATATTTTGTTACATCCGGCATGAAATGAAAAAGAGAAGCATTGTTTTTATCCTCCTTTTCCTATCAGTGAGTTCTGATCCTTTTGTTCGAAATTTCTTCGTTTATACTGAACCACTTGCATAATCAAATCATGTTCCACAATATCTCATATATACATCCTTCTTTTATTTGTGCGTTGAAAATGAATGGGGCTAAGCGATCTGCCAAAGCTATGCAGTAGGGGAGTGATCCATGTTCCACCTTAGAGAGAAGCGAGAACCCAAAGCCCTTTAGATTTCCTCCACAAGATTCGTCCATGGAGAGTGAATTAGGGCCTAAGATCAGGCTAAAATATACCAATGTGTTGGGAAAGGTTCCCCAAATCAGATATATCTCTCCGAGCAAATAAGAAAATACAAAATAGCTTCATTAAAATTGCCCCGGACTCGAGCAGGACTGTTCAGGACAATACCAAGATTGTATTTATTAATCCCTGAGAAGTAAGAGACTAAAGGTGTAAATATATAGCCCATGCATGAGCAGATTCAACGTGAGTACCAGGGGCTCAAGCCCCCTACCCCGTTGGATCCTCATAGAGAGAGAGAGGGAAGGAAGGGGAAAGAAAAGTAGGGGGGCCGAAAGCATAAGAAAAAGATGAATCCCTCCTCCCCATCATTTCTGAATCCGCCCCCACCCAAGAGGGAGTTAGGACATCGAGTAATCGAACCCATAATCAAACTAATGACACCAAAACCATATCTGAATTATCCAATCAAGGAGATCGGTACTTGAAGACCAATTCGCCGATTACATCTAGCAAACTCTGTCATCAGAATTTCCTCTTTTTTTTTTCTAGTCGACTAGATTTATCTTTATACATCCTTGTATACATATACTATTCATACATATCAATCCTAATAGGATATAAGGTTATTATTTTGGAGGCTCTGATCCTATATAAAAAGTCATCTTTCTACACTATTATCAAATATTAATCAATGACAATTATCTGATTGTTTTCCACCCTAATTTTGACAGGTGTTTCTCTCTTTTCAGAGAGAATTATTTTATCAT